AGTGGTTTCTGCCTTTAATCTTCACCAGCAAACCAATTTGCCCCTATCATTCATATTTGAGCCTCATGACTAACGCTGCAGTTCGTACAAAAAAGCTTCTGCTTTCTTTCCAGGCAATCAAAACGGAGCTTATTGGAATTGGAACTCGTGCCTTTAATAAGAAGTGACATTCTAGGATCATTGAAAGCGCCAAAGGCCTGATTGTCATACTCCCACGATTCGGTGGAGATGTCGACTGCATGGCGCGTCCTAAAGGACCTGTTAAACGCCGATGTCTTTGTCCCTTAAATATTCCCCTTTCCGCCTTCAGCCTTGCTCACTTCTATAACATAACATCAAAACGATATGGTATACTTACATGGTACTGTAGGTAGCTGGACTTGGTTGAGGTCATCTGAATGAAAAAAATTCTTTGAAAAATCAAAGAGAGAACTCAGAAAAAGCTTCAACTAGCTATCTATTCGGTTGCTACATAAGTAATCCGCAGCATTTTTTCAACACGTTGTTCCATCATCCCCCTCATGGTTGTTCATGAATTCACTGCTTGTACTCGGTGTGGAGCTTTATGACTTTGCTCAACTAGTCCCTGATTCCACCTTTGCAAAACCCCTTCTTTTCATTTTTTCCTGAAGAGCGTGCCGCTTCTTGATGACTCCCTTCGCTAGGATCACTAGCGGATCCTATATGTACAATGACCCTGCCATGAACGGACACTGGGCAATGAAAAAAGAGCCACAGCTAGTGCTGACGTTTATCTCAAAATCCTTCTGGTAATCCACGACCTGCATAGAGTAATTTCGGGAATTGCTGCGCAAGTGGGTTTGGTATGATCGCTAAGATATTTGTAGTCCAGCGAAAAAGCTGACAACCCAATTTGGCAAGTCTTAAGCGGCACCAGCGTGAGAGACCGAATGGCCAAATTCGGCAGGACGACGGCGGGACGAGGTCACCCTTCACGTACACAGGGCCGTATATCGTGACCTTATGATCTAGGGAGACTGAACTAGGAAATCGAGGTTTGCTGGTCATTACCCAATCCTGTTGAGATCCTTTTTTGTCCTTCCAATATATGGTCGTTTAGGAACCTAGAAGTCCCTCCTGTAACACAGTCCCAACCCTTCCATTCTGCAACCCGCTCCTCCTGGGAGGAGGGGGAAATCGACACAGGCCGCTTGAGCGTTGGCATTGAGCTATAGAAGACATTCGTCTCTGATATGCAGGTCGCTTCTCTTTCAAGCCATTCACAAATAGTGCATTTCAAAAAGTGGCGGCTTACTTATGCAACAAACTCATAGAGTAGAAAAGCCATAGATAGCAGTAGCGATAATGTGAGGGAATTTCGATATAAAGGAATGCTTACAGTTTTGAATAGCTGCCGGACTGCCCTGAACGGATGAGTGGCCTCCTGAAATACATTACTATAAACTATTCCAGAATAATTACAACATCAAAGTAATGGATGATAGAGCACAAGGTTCAGGGCACCACGCGGCACCTTGCCGCGGTAACGCGACAAAGGCTAGATGCCACCTGGCGTTCTCCTACCTATACCCAAACCCTATTTTGACAGCAAACTGCTTGCGTACGGGCGGAACCATCCTTTATCCGCTACCACTTTTTGTAGTACACAAAACAAAACAAATAACACAGCGATTCCGCCCACACGTAAAAGGATCTCCGTTTGGCGTGTTAAATAGCCCATTAATGAATGAAATTTTTTTGTACCTGAAAATGAATCTTGCTGCGACAGAGCACAGGACGGCGCCCATTCGATAAAATCTGAAACAAAACGGATTGCCTGACTGATGTAGCTCTTTGTTTGAGTTCTCAATGGGCCAGTAGCAGCAGCTCCTCAAC